TTTTGTATCATGTTTACCTGTGTCCAAGCATTCTGCAGGTGACATTTGCCTCCTTGTTGTTCCAGTTGGGATCAGCACACACTGTTCCCCACATACCACCATTGAACACCTCCACTCGTCCGACGTTGGTGTCTGGTCCGCCCATCAGTCTGACAGCAATGTCACTTGTAGCTAAGATGTTAAAAAAATGCATTAAATATACCTTAATATATAAGGCGTTCAGTGTTGCAGTGTTGTAGTTTGGCGAGTGCGAATATATATAAATATAATCGAAAGTATCCTTGAAACTGGAAAGTTTGTTGTATTACGCTCGAATTTGATTCCTATCATACCCTAGCTAGTATTCAGCAGTATTAAATTGTTTCTGTTATTCTCCAGTCTTACCTGATACGTTATGACACCTGACATGAGCTTGATACAGACAGGGTATAGCCTGTCCCCAACCGTCAAACTGACAATCAGCCAGACTGGACTCTGAACCGTTACATCTTAAATTGTTCATCCATACCGGTTCTTCAGAAAGCTTGTACACACGCAGTGCCCAACCATCACTGAAAAACAACAAGCTGAATGGTAATATTGCCGACACTGCATTCGGTTGTATTGATTACAGACCAAAAAATAATCAATTAGTTTAGGCGAAATGTTTTGTCATGAATCGTGTTATTCTTATTGTAATATTTTTATAATGATTACAACGATACTGAATTATTCGACTAAACATGTACAAAAAATATCTGTTTGTTGTAGAAATATATTTTACCTGTAGTTAAACATCCTACAGGCTACTTCTGCATGATTGTACCCGTTTTGGGGACAAATGGAACCCCAATATCCACCGTAGTAAACCTCTATTTGGCCAGTATAATTGTTCGCTCCATCTACCAGGCGGAAGGCTAAACTAGAGTCTATTGAAGGTAAGGAATTGTAAAACAAATTAAAATGTTTAACTTTGAGAAACAGATATGATGCGTATTTATCTTTCCTTACCTATACCAGTAATTATGCATAACAGACATTCCATGTTACTTTCAAGAGAAATGATGTAGTTACTATCACAGTGATTGTACTATCTTTTTCTTACTTTTGATTTGACTTTTCCCCTTGATAAATGTCCTATGAATAATTTGGAGAAGAGATGATGTCAGATTAAACCACGAGTTACTTTCGATATGCTTTGACACAGTAGTTCAGGCTATGAAATGATGTTTGTAAATGATACTAAACAATTAGGCATACTTCTAACGTTATAGCATATGGGTTTCAGCTTATTGTTTTGTTAGTTGAGGAAATGATGGATATCATCATGTGAAATTAACGAAAATGTAAAACAGTTCATTTTTATCCCCCAACGAACAGCAATTGCTCTTTTGAACGATGAACTGTTGTAGGCGTACATGACATTATCTGGTTATTAACTCAAATAAACACACTCCTTCGGTGGAGACGGCACTCGTTTAAGCAGATGTGTATTCATCTCTTCATACCCAGCAACTGTTTATGGCAAAAGGGTGGAGGTAACGAACTTTTACGGCCTAACTTCCCTTCCCTATTGGATTCAATATAAACCAAGGTTCTATGACTACATTTGTCCAATGCTGATCTATACGGTTATATTTTAAGGTAGGTTATGGGTTTCGACGGTGTCTGATCAAATTTCCAAAAGTTGAATTGAATCCCCTTGACTTAAGGATCCTCTGCATTTGATTAAATACCCTTCATCACTACAGAAAGAAAAAAGTTTCATAGATTTACTTCTATATTCCCTATTTGGCCCTACATCTCCGCCCTTCTATTTATATCGAATGAAGGATGCACCTCAAGGATGCTCAGAGCAGATTTGCACAAAATCAATCAGTTAATGTCTACAGAAGTAAGGATTTAAAGGTTTTAACCTCTCTTTCCTTTATTGGACCTTGCTCCTCTGTCCCATGGGGCCACACCCTTTAGCAAATAAAGATCGAATCGATAAAATTGTCAATATATCAACAAATGAGTATATGTCGCTCCATAGACTCTTACTGGCTTTTCAAATCTTTCTTGTACACTCGAGGAAGACGAATGCTATCACATTAGCGACTATCGATAGCAGGTCACTTGTGACGTCACAGTCAATCAGCCGTGTTACCGCCCCAACATATCCATATTTACAGAACTTCCAGTAGGGTGGTTACCCTAACTTGTTGTCAGTCATACGATATATATAAATATTATCGGGTTTCACTCTATATCGAACCCTATTTCTAAACATTTTCTTCGGGTTGGTTATTATGGATTATGAAAAGTTCTCGTTACACACACCAATAATTGTTTCTATGTGACATTTCGATGACTATTAGGTATGTGCGCTATCATTTTCATCAGGCAAATGACCAGTGAAGCGTATGCACACAAAGGTGTCAAATGTGTA